TCAGACATAGCACTCACATACTATGATTGTGTATGTGTGTTCGTGCATGTGTGTGAAGAGAACATAAAACACACTCTCTTAGAAATGTTATAATATCCAGTAAACTGTTAACTATAGTTTTCAAATTGTACAACAGATCTTTTGAACATATTCCTGCTACCTAACCAAAAATTTTTATCTTTTGACCAACATGTCCCCACCACCTTCTTGGCATCTTGTAATCACCATTCTACTCTCTACTTGTAGGAGATCAAAATTTTTTAGATCCCACATATAAGTGAGACAATGCAGTATGGGCCTTTTTATATCTGGGTTCATTTCATTTAACATGTCTTCCAGGTTCATCCACGTTGTCACAAATGACAGAATTTCCTTCTCTTTAAAGGCTGAATGGTACTCCACTGTGTACATATAACAGTTTCTTTATCTATTCATCTGAGATGGACACTTAAATTGATTCCTTATCTTGGATAATGAGAATAATTCAATTCTGCAATTAACACGAGAATACTAATATTTCTTTGACATACTGATTTCATTTTTTTTTTATTTGTACCCAGAAGTGGGATTTCTTGATCATAAGAGAGTTCTCTTTCACTTAAAATAAGAAGTTCCATACTGTTTTCTATAATGGTTATACTACATTCCCACCAGTAGGGCAACAGTATATAACCTTGCCAGTACTTGTTTATTCAAGTCTTTTGCCCATTTTGTGACCAGGTTATTTGTTTTTTCACTGTTTGGGTTATTTAAGTTCCTTATGTATTTTGTATATGAACTCCTTATCAGATTTGTGGTTTACAAATATTTTCTCCCATTCTGTGGGTTTCTCTTTACTCTGTTGATTATTTCCTTGGTCACACAGAAACATTTTAGTTTGATCTAATTCCAGATGTCTATTTTTGCTTTTTTTGCCTGCCCTTTTGAATTCATATTAAAAAAAAAAAAAAAAACATTGCTCAGATGAGACTAATATCAGAGAGATATTCCCATTTTCTTCTAGTAGCTTTATTTATTATTTATTATCTAGGTCTTACATTTAAATCTTTGATCCACTTTGATTTTTGTATATGGTATGAGATAAAGGTTTAATTTAATTCTTCTGCATGCATGTCAATATTCAATTGTGTTAACACTATTTACTGAAGATGCTATCCTTTATATCTCTGGTTTACTTCATCTAAAATCAATGTTTGGATTTATTTTTGGACTCTATATGCTATTCCATTGGTTTAGCTATCCTTGTTTATGCCAACACCATGCTATTTTGATTATTGTAGCTTTGTAATATAATTTGATGTCTCTGGTCTGCAGTCTCAAGTTTTGTTCTTTTTGCTCTCAGATTCACTTAGGCTATTCAGAATCTTTTGTGGTTTTTTGTCAATTTCAGGATTTTTTTTCTGTTGAAAATGTCACTGTAATTTTGATAGCCACTGCATTGAATTTATAGATAGTTTTGGCAGTATAGATATTTTATGCATATTCATCTTCTAATCCATGAACATGGGGTTAGCTTTCCACTTACACTCATGTACCATATAACAAGATTTCACTCAACAGTAGATAATATGTACCATGGTGATCCTATAGATTATATCTCTTAGTGATGTTGTAGCCACCTTATTTTGTATAAATACAGTCTATGATGTTTGCACATTGATGAACAATGCATTTCTCAAAATGAATCCCCACATTAAGCAACACATGACCATAACTGGATTTTTCATAGTCATCTCACCTATCTCTAAAATGGTTGACAAAAGAAATTATATTGCATTTATCCTTATCAAACTTCAGCTCAGATAAACTAATTTAGAGAAAAAAAAAGATCAGAAATAATCAACTTTTAAAAAGTCTTGGGATTTCACATGGGTTCAACTTCATGTCAACCAAATATGTGATGTAGAAACAAAAACAAAAATCAATGTAGTTTAAAATTCTGACTAGTACAGAATTTAGCCTATCTGAAGTATTTTACATAACCCAAATTTTAAGACAAATCAGTGATAAATCAGAAGAATAGCTAAGACTGTGGTGATTCCAGAAGATTGAAGGAACTAGAAATATCTTACAAGAGAAAAAAAGCAAATGAGGGAAATATTAATTTTAAAATATTTATTAAGCACATTTTTAAAGTAGTAGAAAATGATAGTCTTACTTTTTCTAAGATATGTCTGAGAAGTAGGGATTAATCATAGAATATTAAAAATGAAAGTAGCAGAAAAAGATCAAAGCATAGAAGATAGGTTAGTTTTGAATACCTAAGAACTTCCTAACAATGTGAACTGTCCAAAAAAATGTGATGGACTACTTTAATAAGTTCCCAGAGATCAGAAGTATTTACACAAAAAACTATATGTCCACCAGTTAGAAATATTGTTGAGTGAATTATTTCAGTGGGAGACAAGACTAGTACAGAACAGTGTTTCTTATCTGGGATCCTTGGTGCTACGTGAAATGGTGGTATGGAGTTGTGGGGTGGGAAGTGCAATTGTTGCTGTGCAAGAAAAATGCCTAAATTCAAAACCCTGGCTTCAACAAAACATTCCACTTATATACCCAGCTTCTGCAGTAGTATTTTTTGGAGGGTTGTGGGTTGTGGGTGGACACAATACCTTTATTTTATATATTTATTTTTATGTGGTGCTGAGAATCAAACCCAGTGCCTCACACATATCAGGCAAGTGTTCTACCATTGAGCTACACCCCCAGCCCCGCAATGGCTTTTATTAGCGTTTGTGGGGGTCATATTAAAAGAAGAAAGTCTCTTTCATTTTTAATATTCTATAATTAATCCCTACTTCTCAGACATACTCTAGAAAAAGTAAGACCATCATCTTATTGAGGGATTACTGCAAATAAGATTAATGTCTATGATTTAAAAGCCTCCTTTTCTTCAGTAATGGGTCTTTCAGAGTGAATTAAATAGATAATTGTGTCATCGCTTCAATTTACCTATGTCAGCATAGCTTATATTGTATCTGAAGGAGATTTTATCTTTCTCTGGAAAAATTTAACGTTTAAACCAAATGTCCTTTACTTTAAAAATAAGTAGTAGATGAAGAAAAATAAATCTTAAAATCTCATAAATCTATATATTTTAAATTTATACTTATATAAAGAAAAATTTGTAAAAGTTAATATATAACTAAATTTTAAGCGAACACAGGGTACTATCAAATTTTATATAACCTATTCAAAAGTAAAATAAATATATAATATATTAGAAATTAATATATAAAAGTTCCAGATACTTGATCCTTTAAAATATTCATATTAAATTTATATATCATTTCTGATTCATATCTATATCAATTACAGTGATCATAATAGCCAGTTTATAGGGACTTTTTTAAGTGTATTTTTAATTACTGATCTTACCTAGTCTAGAAAATTAAGACAAATCTTACTGCTTCAGCTTTCTTGTGGTCTTAATCCCATTAAGCAGAATTCTTATCTATAGATCAATTAGGAACTAAATGTTCATTATAGTATTTTTCAGAAGTAACAGTAATATACGTGATTGTTTAGAAGTAATTCTGAAGGTTCACAGTATGTATTTTGTATTCAGAAGTAATTCTGAAGGTTCACAATCCGTATTTTGTATTCAGAAGAAGGCAGTCTAGCATGTAGGAGAAGTCCAATTACATGGTAGTAAGTCTGCAAAAAATCACTCATCAAGGAAATTTCAGCACAGCCTTATTCTTTTTTGTTGAAAGTTTTCTTCACATTTTGTGAGAGTATTGTGTACTAAATGTATACCAAATCAAGGGAAGTTGGGTCTTAAGATAAAAAGCTTGTTAACTAAGGCACACTAGGGTCTCCTGTGTTCTATATGGTTTTTGGTCAGGTATTATTTATAAATTTATGCTTATAGTTTTAAAATATGATCATCACACAATATAATAACACTGAAAATACCTCAAAATACATCCATATCTTTGTTTTTATAAAAACATATTTTTAATAAAAAGCAACATATTAATGGCAGGAAACTGAGCGGGGGAGAAAGTACAGCAATAACCTTTGAAGATGCAAAATAATCAACTTCAATAGAAAAGCATCAGTGATATTATAGACACCATTTTAACTGCATACGGCTAACAGAATTCAGATTTTGTTTTTCCTCCCATGTGAGTTCATCTCTTTGCTATGGGCCAATAAGACTACTACTCAAATGATCTAATGCTTAGTAAAACTTTGATGCTGTCAACATCAAAAAGTACAGAATACAAAAAGCCTCTAGATTACTCTTGGGAGATTCTTATAAATTCTAGTAACAAAGTAGATTACTATGATAAATTTAAAACTATGCTATTAACACTTTAAAGATTAAATAAAAACTTAAAACATAATGATTAGTTTTCTTTTGAAGACTAGATAATGGAATTAATGTAAAAAGTCATTATTTTTAGTAAGATTTATACTATATAATTCTTGATATTTTTATAGATATATTTTTTAAATGTTAGAATTCAGAGAGAACATAGCTCCCATTATTCCCCTTTAAATTTTAAGAGATATATATTTACTGATTAAAGAAAACTCAAGTCAAACATCTCTTTTACATCTTTTTTAACCTACTCAATGCCAAAAAAATTCAGATTTCTAATTTAAAGGAGTAGATGCTAAGAAATCAAAGTGCCTGGACTGCTCTTTTATAAACTCACTAAAATATCATCCAGTAACCTTTGGGATGGGCTATCATTTAATTTTAAGCTTTTATTATTATTTTTGGGAAACAACTTTGTTCTTGAACATGGCAATAAATATACTTGACATTTTTAACACATCCTAGAGATAGTGTAAAATTGAGAACAGAAATTCTTTTCTAGGAACAAAGGTCAAAAGATTATGCATTGTGAAAGCAGTTTTATGTTTCTTAAGATGTAGATGGCTACTATCTAAAACACACCATACTGTATTGTTTCTTAAAATTTCAAGATTATATATATATATATAAACTTTGAGGAGAATGAATAATACAGTAATGCTGTTACCTTTTAGCCGGTGACTTAGAATCTGTTCCAAAATAGCTGCAAAATTGTTAAATTCAGGAGAGGAATCATCAATTGTCTCAAAGCAAGATCGATCAATGAGGGTCTTCACAGAAAACCTAAGGAGGGGAAAAAAAGATTATTGTTGCTTTTAGGCAGAGTTAATTCATTTACCATGTAAGTATAAAAAAACTGGGATAAAGGCAATTTGGGGAAGAATTATAGAAATATTTTATAAGATTATATATTCTGAAAATCCTATTCAAATTCACTCTGTAAATAGATAAATTTAAATAAAAACTAAGCTTTTCACTTGTACACTTAATATCTGGTATGGTCTGAATATGTGCCTTCCCCAGATTCATATGTTCATATCTGAACCCCAAAGCAATAGTACCAAGAGGTGAAGTTTCTGGGAGGTGATGCTCTTTTATTGGCATCCTTGTGGAAAAGGTCCAAGGGAGGTTGCTTGCTTCTTCTGCCCAGTAAGGATATACAGAAGGCACCAAACAGGAGCAATGTCCTTTACCAAACAATTAATCTGCTAGCACCTTCATCATGGTGCCTCCAAAACTGAGAAATACATTCATATTATTTATAAATTCCCAGTCTAAGGTACTTTGGTATAGCAGCCTGAAAAGTTTAAGATACTACCTATTCACCAAACTAAGACTTTAAAATAGCTCTCTGGGGCTGGGGCTATAGCTCAGGGACAGAACGCTTGCCTAGCACTGTGAGGCACTGGGTTCAATCCTTAGCACCACATAAAAAATAAATAAATAAATGCTGTCCATCTACAACTACAAAAAATTTTTTTAAATAAATATAAAATAGCTCTCTGTCCTCACAGTCATTAAAATCAGAATCAAAATAAGATCTAAACTACTAATTCCTAACTACTCAAAAGCCACAATTTGCTATGGTTTACTTATGATTTTTCAACTTTTTGATGGTGTAAAAAGTATACTCACAAAATTATTTTTCACCTTCAGTATAGTATTCAATAAATTACATGAACTATTCAACACTTTATTATAAAATAGGATTTGTGTTAGATGATTTTGTTCAACTGCAGAAAAAAAGTAAGTGTTCTGAACATTTTTAAGGTGGGTGAAGCTAAGCTACAATGTTTGGAATGTTGGATATATTAAACTATTTTTTATTTATAACATTTTCATTTTATAATAGATTTATTAGGATATAACCCCACTTTAAGTCCAGAAAAATCTGAGAACTAGTAATAAATTTGATTTTGAGACTTCAGAGTTTTTGAACACAAAATAGAATAAAACAGGATGTGAGCATTCATAAATTGCAAACCCAGTTTGTTTTTATTTTTGTTTTTATATCAGGGATTGAACACAGGGGCGCTTAACTACTGAGACACATCTCCAGCCCTTTTTTATTTTGAGACAGGGCCTTGTTAAGTTGTTTAGGGCTTCCTTAAGTTTCTGAGGCTACCTTTGAACTTGCAATACCTCCTGCCTCAGCCATAAATGCTGGTACTATAAGCATGTACCACCACAACTGCCTAAATCCAGTTTTTTATAAGTTGTAGAGAAGAAAACCTGCACATCTATAAATAATACTTATATTTGTTCTTCCTATCAGAATGTCCTTTCTATTTCTGATTATCAAAGATCAAAAAATTTTTAGGTCTCAGCTCAAACACTATCTCTTCAATGAAGAATTATCTACCTTCATATTCCTAACACTAACTAGCATTTTGTTTGCATCTCTCTTAAGAGACAATTACAGTTTAACTTACAGCCATTACTTGTGCTGCCTATCCCTATCTTGTTAAAATACAAATTCCTCCAGGGCAGAAACATGCCATCTGCATGCTGGTATCTTCCTCAGCACCTAGGACAATGTCTTCAACATTGTATTTAAGAAATACTTATTGATTTATTTGAAAATTCTATAGTGAAAGAATGGCAAAGAAATGTTCAAATGCCTACCAATGTCGTGGAAAAAAAAAAGTTTATTTTTTTAACATGTATAGATTTGCATATTCACCATCAAAATCAGGATACAAAACACTGTCACTTCTAACAATTCCTTTGTCCTGCACCTTTATAGTTCTGCCTTATAGGGAAGACAGATCTGAGTGTCCAAGACAAACAGTGGGGAATGAAGAAGATTGCTAGGAGAACTGCTAAATTTTCCTATAAAAGATACTATGTGCATGATAAAAACCTAAGATGGTGAATCTCAAAGCACCAAATTACTTTTAACTCAACACCTGACTAAAAAACTAAAACAAAAACCAAATTCCAAATACCCTAAAGCATATTAAACACAACTTCTGTTATTTCTAAGTACAAAAAGGAGAGTAAAAAAGCATTTTAAATAATTTCTATTATATTAAGGTTAATAATGAAGAAGAAGAATATTCCCCAGCTTTGCTTGATCATATGTATTTAAGCTCTCCTATCAACATGAACCAAAACTTCAGAAAGCAAATCAGTTCCTCAGAATCTGTGTTTTACTTCCAACTATTTAAATCTTCCCACTCAACACTTACTGTTCTAAGTCATGTAGTTAGCTCCATTATGCCAGAGTAATGAGAATCTTTCTGCTATAACACAGCAAGCAACTAGCTAAGATGTGCTATAAAAACCAAACCTGTAAAAAGAATTTCAGTATGTCTAAAAAATATCACACAGATGTTGAGCTATTACCTGATAATGATGACATTAATATTAGTCATCTATTTCTTGAAAAGGAGTGATTTTTAAATAATAAAGTGACAATTTGATGAATATCTAAAAATACCAAATCAAATCCAAGTAACAGCTTTTTCATAAGAGTTAAAAAATAAAAAATTAACATAAAAGAAACTTATAATGAAATTTCTGAAATAATTTTTGAAATGTCTATTTCAAAATATTTTTTTCCATCTTCAATATTCACAGGAAATTTTTGTTAGCTTAGAAATAAAAGTGATTGGGTTGGGGTTGCAGCTCAGTGAGAGGTGTAGCTCAATCTAGCACATGAGAGGCCCTGGATTCAATCCTCAGCACTACATAAAGATAAACAAATAAAATAAAGATATTTTTCCATCTACAGTTTTTAAAAAATTTTAAAAGAAATAAAAATGATTATTAGTAAAACCTTCAAACCTCAAAATATGTGAATTATGTTTATCCCTTTGATAATACACTGAAGAGAAACGAGTAACAAAACTATAAAAGATGCTTATTATAACTATATTAATTCCTTCCACAGTTTAGTTTTGTAACAATTATAATTAAAAATAATGCAAAAGTATGAGAACAACAAAATCAAAAATAATTCTTTTTTTACTTTTTATTGAAAAGAATCTATTTAAAAAGTAGAAATTCACCTCTAATATTTAAGGTCCCCTAATAGTAATACATACATATACATTAACATACATAGAGATTGAGTAGGAAAAAAATCAAATAAGTCTGAAGATAACTAAAGTATATAAAACCATCTAGAACTGTCACATTTAAAATTGGTTCAGAATAGTCATTAAATTTTTTTAAATATACCATAAGTATCCAAATTCTTTCTCAAACATTTTCTTAATTTAAAAAAAATTTTTAGTTGTAGATGGACACAATACCTTCATTTTATTTACTTATGTAGCGCTGAGGATCAAACCCAGTGATCTGCATACAAGGCAAGTGCTCTACCACTGAGCCACAACCCCAGCACTAAATATTCAAATTCTGAGAGATTTCTTACTATTATTTCACACCCAACTTTTAGGATTCCTTACACTGTATCCTTATAATTAGCAAAGTAAACTATTCTCTGCTATTAAAATAATAGCCATCATCAACAATCAACAAGGAGTTGACAGCCAAGAGATATGACAATACAGAATATTGACTACAGGTGATAAGAGCTGTTCAATGGAAGGCTTATTTTCTTTGTCAGATTTTACATCAGAAATTTTTAAAAAATTGAAATTAGTAACATGCCTTCTTTTTGAAAGAATTATACAAGAATTCACAAACATTATGTGTATTTTTCCATTTTTTGTATAATATAAATCATTTTAAAATGAGAAAAAATACTTTTAATGTATCCTTTTGGCAGAAATCTACAGATTATTATCCATACGCCAAATTCAACTATTTGCCTGATTCTGAAAATAAACATTTATTGAAATAACAACAAAAAGTTCCAACCATCTTTCCTTGAGTTTGTACCCCAAAACTCAAAAGTCTCTATTCTATCATTTTAAAAAAATTACCTAATGTAAAAATTCCTTACAATGTATCCTTATAATTAGCAGAGTTAACTCTCTTGAAAGAGAGAAGCAGTATATTTTAAAATACATACCCTATCTGTACTTTCAAAACTTAAAATTGTTCATCTGAGCACCTTAAAATGAGATACTGAGCTGGGGTTGTGGCTCGCTCAGCACATGCAAGGCCCTGGGTTTCATCCCCAGTATCACATTAAAAAAATAAATAAATAAAATAAAGATATTGTGTCCAACTACAACTAAAAAATAAATATTTTTTAAAAAAGAATGAGATACTATAGTATTAACATCTTATCTTGCTATATAAGCAGATTGATTATTGGAGATTGTTCAACTTGACAACGAAGCATAATGTTAAAAAAAATAGAAGACAAAATTTCCCCTCAAAAAATGTTTTTTCTAAAATTAGAAATCTATCAAAACAAAAAAAAACTTTCCATTTTTAAATCAATTAACTGGTTTGACCTTATATGTAAGAACACCCAACTACAATTGTTTAAACAAAGAATATGTGGTATAGTCCCAGCTACTGGAAAAGCAGGAGGATCCGTTGGGACTACAAGTTTGGGACCAGCCTGGCCAACAGTAAGACTATGTCAAAAAATAATAATAATAATACACTTGGATCACATATCCTTTTGAATCCATCTGTTCTTTATCCAAAGGAAAATATTCAAGTAGAATACCACAAGTAAACCACACTGTAAACTACACTCCAAAGCAGCAGCAGAGCAATATAAAGAACAGGGGCTTGGGCACTGAAAGATGCTTGGACTCATACCTGGCTCTTGTTCAGTCCTTGTCAAGATACTGAACTCAGGTTCTTCAGTAACTAATTACCTAATGATTGTGAAGAAAAGATATAGCATATGC